CAGTTAAGCTTTTCATATAGAGTTCTTATTTTTTGTGGGCAGCAATGGAAAAGCGAAAACATTTCGACATCGAGCCGATCTCTATGTACAAGCAGATCTTGTGCCTGAGGGAAGACATATTATGCTGAGGTGTGGAACATTGCGTTCACTCGGCGTGGCCCTACAATCCAGAGATACCCAAACACCCAAAGACGCGGTTACAAACGCTTAGAACTTGCACTAGCAAGGTTCTGGTGAAGGGTAGTTATGTTTATTTGGGCCTTGGACGTGGTCTGCTTGATCAACAGCAAAATCGCCGTGGTACGAGCATTCCCGAAGTGCCCCTTCTACTGCATAGAGATGGGAAGAAGTTTTTAATGGGTCTAATCAGTGCTTCTAACTAAGCCTTGCACATGTGAATCATCAGGTTGTTATACAGCCCTCCGTTGTTGGAATGTTCTGCGGTTTTGGAAAGCCAAATTCGTTGAAAGTCTTACTGGAAGATTATAGCTGTGAGTAAAAGGAACTTATTGCTCGTGGCCTGCGCGATCCAAGTACAGATGATATCGTAAATATGCACCTATACAATATTATTTACGACACCCCTGCTTAGTCTTATGTACGACAAATTAAAGTTCATAAGGACAAACATCTTGCAAACCGCATGATATTTCCATTGGATAGTGGGCATCTGTGAGACGACAGTTAGTCTAGCTTACAAGAGCAGCGATGGCGTCGCAAGGGCATGTCATGCCCATTGACATGATTGCCTCATTCCCAATCGACTATATGAAGCTCGTCTGCCTGAGTGTCATTCGACTGGGGTAGTGCACGTCCTCGCTCTCCAGTAACATATGCATTAATTTTCTTTGGCAAACGTACTCACTGACTTACGTCTCACTCCAATGACGACGACTCTCCACTCAATAGGCTGAGGCAGCAAGCTAGTTGAACAACGTCATTCAAAATACTATGGTATGCCTAACTGTCACCGAGTACGAGGCCAGTGGGATAATTTTTTTCATCTTCAAGTAAGTTGAGGTAACCTAGACCACCAGTCGCAATTGTGTAGCTAACCCTTACTATATATTACTTAAGACCGTCGATGGGCATATCGACGCGCGCTTCCATGTCAGTCGTGGAAACCTTGTCTGGCCGGCAGGTGTTAAAGTACATAGCCGATGTGGAGTTTCAGATGGTGAACATAAATGTTCAGTTCACGTAAATGAATGCACGGTTAACAGACATCAATGTGCGGTTTTCGTCTCTCGAGTTAGTCTATTAACGATCTTCCGGAAGATTCGATAGGAGAAGGGATGCCCTTTTGGCCGAGCAGACACATGCTTTCAACAGCAATATGCAGCAAGTACAAGCAGCACTGGTGAATGCCATTAGTACATTGGAGAGAAATACAACTGTCAGTAATGTCAGGGTTTCATCTGAAAGGTTGCCACAACCTGTTATTTTTCAAGGTTACCCAATGACTGAATGTTCCAGTAT